TTTCGACTATTCGGTTTGCTCTGAGGCAGAGAGATGTAGCTTGTGGACCTGAATTGCCAGACAAGGCCACAAGACAAGAGAACCCTATTTGTATAGCTTCTGAGTGTACATGGGGAATCTCATGATTCATTGTGCCTCCGAGCAACTCATTCACTATGCTTCTGAAGGTGATGCAAAGGGATAAGAGACAGATACATCAACAAAGGTTGTGACCAAGATAGGGATAGGATAGGATTTGGGCAGACTTTTTTTAGGAGGGGAGAAGGCAACATTGCCGATGAAAGAATAAAATCCGAAGTCCATATCATGCTACAGATAATATATGATCAATTTTTATCATATATCCTGTACAGATAAGTGGGAAGAGTTAGGCTAGATGACCACCTGCAATATCTTCTGTGAAGGCTTTAAAATAATTGGGTTACATCCAGCCAGATTTTCTACTGTTGGGAAACAAGGGGAGAGATTCTTCTTTAGCAACCCAAAAAGCTATGCTGAGGATCTTGGCACCTACATGGACAAAAGCCATTTGGGACAGGGGTGTAATAATGAGAGGAACTGGATTAGATTTTGGGTGGTCGGTCTGGCTGGATCTAACCAACTGTCTGGGATTTTTTAGAATCAATTCAAATAATACATTGGAAGCGACCCTTGCTATCCATTAGACTGTTACACAAAGAGGTTATCATAATGGACCAGAGACTCTGATACACAGGGACATAATTGAACTCTGCTGAATGATGTGAGGCTGAGACTGCAAAAAAAAAAGATTAAAAATGGATAGGAGCTCTTCAGAAGTGGGAAGGTACATGAATCAATTTTCCTACATAAAAGAACAGAAGTTTATATGATACCACACCATTCAGCCAAGTTTGAAGCCTTTCTCCAGCTTTCTGATAATAGTGGAAGGATAAAAGTCGTTCTCTCTGTTTGCGAAACTGGGTATTAGAGAAAACAGATAAAAATTAGATATCGTAGTAGGCAGATTAGAAGAAGAGAAAAGGTTAGCAATCTTTTTCCTGGAATGCTGCAATCATGCTTATAAAAAATATTACTTACTGAGACAGATTAAACACTTTAGGGGATAATGTCTATGCCAGATTTAATTTCTCCACTAGATGCTTTAGTCCATACCTCGATTCATCTAAGCCACTGAATCTTCTAATGGAGCTTGCAATAACATATGCAGCTGATTTCTCATTATATCTAGATTTTAAAAACACAAAAAAAGCCTTTGAGAATGGGAATGAGATTCATTTGAAGTCTGTTTGGTCTTGGTAAAGTGCTCCCAAGAGTCCAGCATCCCTAATCAGAAAAATCTGGGGAAATTCTTTTCCCTCAGCTGAATTTTTCTGTGTATGCTGGCTGTGTTTGAATGCATAAAATGAGACTTTCAAGAGCAAAGTCTATTTCTCCTGCAGCAGTCATTTGCAACTGGATTTTCCTAAAGTGGACAAGGCAATCCAGTTGAGAATGAGTGCTATAGTGCAAAGATAGTGCCACGTCCAACAATGTGTGGATGGAGCCTTTGAGATGTGGCTCTTCTGATTGTTATTACAATTTATGTAACGCTTCTCACAATATTAGGTGACATAATTCTTATCTCAAATACAACACTGTGAAAAAGCTTAGATTACAAAACACCAAGTTCTTCATGACCTTCAGGGCATTCATTTGCCATTCATAGGCTGTTCAGTCAACCATTGGGCATTTGGTTTCATTATTGCACAATGCGGACAATATGGAAATGGGACTTTATCCTGCCAGTGATGCTGTTGCCTCATCCCCTGCTGAATATATATATAAAAAGAAAAACATATAATGGTTACTTGCATTCTCCAAGGGTTCTCCTAATGAAATCATCACATGACCTACATGACGAATCCTGATGTGTCAACCAAACATGAACAAACCAACAACAATTCCAAAATCCAGTAGTTCCACATGCAATCAGAATGGACAGTTGTGTTCCAACACCATTACTGATCATCTGTATGCTGTAGAAAGGCCCAGCACACCCCAAACGTCTCCTCATTTATTGATTTATTTGTATTAAGAACCTTGTACAGTTCCGCAGGGCCTGTAAGACGGAGCTCTTCCGCCAGGCCTATGAGTAGGAGCCGCCACGGCCACCAATACCACCGCCCTTTTACAGAGAGAGACCGCTAGGGTGGCTGAGTAACATCTTTCAGCACCCGGCCTTCCCCCCCCCCGCGACGCAATAAGAGAGGAGTTTACAGGTGCATCCATTGTACTGATTTTAATTTGTTTTAACTTTGTAACTTGTATTATATATTTTGTATGTTGATTGCACTCAGTGCCTTATGTGAGCCGCCCTGAGCCCGTTCGCGGGGAGGGCGGGGTATAAATAAAATAAATAAATAAATAATAAGAAGTGCCTTGCTGAATCAGACAACTAGTCCATCTAGTCCAGCATCCTGTCTCACACAGTGACCAACAAGTTCTTCTGGAAGGCCAACAACAGAGCATAGAGGTCGAGACCTTCCTTTGATGTTGCCTGCTGGCCCTGGGATTCAGGGGTTTAGTGCCTCTGAATGTGGAGATTTCCCTCAGTCACCACAGCTAATAGCCACCGATAGACCTATCATCCATAAGTCTATCTAATCTTCCTGCCCATACCTCTTTTCTGAGCCAAAAAGACCTTCTTGAAAAGTTACTTGCATAACTTTGGAGCTGCAGATGGAGTATTCTGAGCCTATGAAGCTCCAAAGTCATGCAGATAACTCCCAATGAGGCCCGTCTGGCTCAGGAAAAAAGGCAGGAGCCCTCCCCATAGCAGGATTAACCCAAATTAGGCTTCTTCAGGATTAAAAAAAATGATGTTTCCACAACTGCAATGAGACTGAGGGAAAAGTGAGTCATGCCTTGAAGTCCATACCCAATTAGTTAAAAAAAGGTACTGTGTAGCTTGTCCCTGAGTAACGGTTCATTGGCCTATGGAACTGGGCCGCTGTTGAACTGAATCACGTTTTCAAATTTGCTTGCATAATATTCCTTAAAGAATGCTAACTGTGCTTCAATCAGATTAAACAATTGTTAAAAGTTAAATTCCTGAGAAACTGTGCACGGATTTCAGATTCCCTCAATAATATTATTGTGTCCTGTGGGGTTGGAGGAGAGTTTTAAGGATATCGTGGACTGCCAAAAAGAGTGGCTTTCGAGCAAGGGAAACCTTTACCTTTACCTTTAAGAATGGAGGAGCTGGCAGGATGGGCTAATAGGATGCCAACGCAGCTTCCCTGGTGGACAATGGGAGGCGAGGTGAGTCATTCGGAACACAGTTTGCCTTTTATATATA